GACGCGAAAAAAAGTCCTAGCGACCATTTGATGGACCAAAAAAGAGGAGAGAGATAAGAGCAGCCAAAAAGATAAACCAAAAGAGCTATTCTGTAGATCATCAAATCCATGGTCTCCTCCGCATCGTGCACTAAAAGCTGTGGCAGTGGGAGGTAGAAGCCAGAGGGAAGATCCGAACACATTTCACCGAGACGAGGAGAGCGACCTTTCATGCCAAAGCAGTCCAGGTGAAGGATCGTTGGTGTAATCACCATCAGGGTTGCAAAGACGATCAAAGTGCCAAAGTATGGTACAGAGACTGACCCAGAACGGAGGACAACGAGCAGAAGGAGAAACAGGCAACAGCGACAAGAGATAGTCAATGTGCAGCTCGGTAGAACCAGCCGGAAGGAAAGGAACACAACACCAGAGAGCAGATGGGACCTGAGGACAAACCATGAGATGCGCACGAGTGGTATGACCAAACAGACAAGCACAAGGACGGGGATCACCAGGTAGCCAACCCATACGCCAACGTATAAGCCGACTACGATCAGCACGCGAAGCAGGAACATACAGGATTGGATCCACACGCAGTACAGGACGACAGGCACGAATCAAGACTTGCTGTGTCGAGGCCAGGAACTGATCAAACTCTTGCTGTCGATACGCATGTAACCAGGTTTTAAGCCGTGAAGGAGCCGTAACTTCTGGTGGGTGATCGAGCACAATGCGTCGAGAGCGAAGAGTTGATAGTAGTGACGATGGCAGAGAAGAAGAGAGCAGCGACAAGAGACAGTCATCAGGCAATGTACCAGCACGGAGACAGAATTTCAATACCAAGGTATCAGCACGGAAACGCATCGAAGGCAGATTGGTAATGTGCCGAAGCACAACTGTCGACGAGGTCTTGTGGCCACCAACGATCAGTCGCAGACACCGGCTTTGAGCGCGCTCTAGCTCGTCATATTCCTTTTTGAGCAGCTTAGAGATGGCTAGGCCATACTCCAACTTGGGACGTACAAACATAGCATAGAGGCGAGAAGAGAACAGCAACGAGAAACCAGACCGATTGGCACCAATAGCAGACAGTTGGGCCATCTTGAGCTGAGCACCAGGCTTGCGGTGAGCCACCAGACGAGACGGAGAGATGCCATTGCGCATAAAAGGGACACCAAGGTAAACAAACTCATCAACAGATGGTATGTCTTCATCATACAGTGTGAGACGGACGTATCTTGAGGACGTCGGATCAGGCGCATTGAGGATGGCACACTTGGTGGGACTCCATCTGTAACCGAGCACTTGGGAATGAATTTGAGCCAGGTCAAGCATTTGTTTAACTTCGCTTGCAGAACCAATTATAGCCACATCATCAGCATAAAGAAGAGAGTTGACAGCAGTGGGAGACGGAGACAAAGAGGAGACATCCAATGGCGGACCAAAAGGAAGACCAAGACCAGAACCAGAAGAGCCAGAATCAGAAGGACCAGGAGGACCAGAAGGAGACAAGGACGAAACCATTGTTGTGGTACGCGTGGCAGCAGAACGAAGAAGAGCAGGCAGCGTATTGATGTAAATCGAGTACAGATGTGGACTCAGGACAGAGCCTTGAAGTACACCTGTACTCGGAGTGAATGGTGTTGAGACTTGGTTGGACAGCAGGACCGCGATTGAAACATCATCAAAGAGATGAGCCAAGACAGAGACCAGAGCAAAAGGAGCATTGACAGCCAAGAGGGATTGCCAGATGACACGTCTGTCGACGGTATCATACGCAGCCTTGATATCAAGAAAAGCCACAACAGGGAAATGACGCTTGCGACGATAGTACTCTTGCATCAAGTCATGCAAGCAGAGGGCTTGGTCAAGAGCACTACGCTGTGGACGGAAACCACCTTGAGCAATGTCCAGAGGAGGCGAGACATCTTCTAAGAACGGAAAGAGACACATTTCGAACAACTTGCGAATGATGGACGTCAAGGAGATTGGCCTGAAGTTTGACGGTTGATGAGGGTCGCCCTTCTTGTAGATAGGCACGACCTGCGCATGACGCCAAAGAGAAGGAGTGTATGACCATTGGCAGCAGATATCAAAGAGACGAGCCAGGATAGCAGCGACTTGCTTACGAATGGGGATAAGCATCTCTGTACGCAGATGATCAGATCCAGGAGCTTTGCGTAGAGGTAGGCGACGCATAGTATCAGCAACAGAGTCAGCCGAAAAAGAAGAAAGGCCAGAGCCAGAACCAGAGCCAGAGCCAGAACCAAGACCAAGACCAGAGCCAAGACCAGAATCAGATAGATCATCCTCAGAAATGGAACCAAGATCAAAGGGGACATGATCATCAGGTGATGGAAGAGGAGGTGGACGACTGGATGGTAGACCAGAGCCAGAGTAGACGGATGCAAGATGATCCCGCATAGCGTTGGCACCAGCGACGGGACCATCAGGATGAGCATATGATACTTGAGGACGACGACGGTTATGGACTTGCTTGACCCTACGCACCGCAGCAGAAAAGTCACCACGAGCGAGGGAGTCACAAAAGGCACGCCAGGATTCTCGCTTTGTACGCTTGACAGCCGTGCGGAAACGGACATGAGCTTCTTGATGTAGACCCCACCAATAAGCTTTGTCAATCCCAAGGGACCAACGCCACTTACGGTAGAGCCAGTCGCGACGGTCAGCCAAGGCTTGTAGTTGAGAGGTCCAGAACCTTTTCCATTGCTTTGGTCTTGAGGTACGAGATCCAACTGACTTGTCCAGAGCAGAGTAGATGGCCGCATTGAGTTCATCGTTAAGATGGTCAATGGGTGGACGTGTTGACGGTGGACTTGAACACAGCTGTTGAAGCTGGTCAAGCAAAGCAGCAGACAAGGAGCAAAAGGTGGACACGTACAGCTTCTGAACGTCTGGTTCTTTTAAACGAGACAGATTCCAAAGTCGACGAACTTGACCAGAAGAAGGAGATGGTGTGGAAGGGACCACAGGGACTGAGTACTCAAAAGAGAGAGACATCAGTTTATGGTCTGACCCCAAAGAAAGATCCAAGGCGACCGAGATATTTGCTGAATGGACCAGTGGCATGTTGGTGATGTAGTAGTCTACAATGCTGCTTACCTCAGCATGACCACGGCAAGTCAGGTATGTTGGAATACCATAGGCAAGAGTCTTGTTCAGGATGTTGAGACCATGGTCGTCGCACCAACGACGAAGGACAGAGCTACGCATGTTAGTACGAGAGTCACCAACAAGACGACCAAGACGAACATTGAGATCACCGCAGATGATCGTATCGTCAGTGAGCGGCAGAGAGTCCAGGACAGACTGTACCTCAGCAGTAGGCAATGAAGGAGGCAAGTAGAGACAGATGAGCCGTAAAGAACGACCCAACTGCAGACCAAGAGCATACTTACAATTCACCGGGAATTCAACCACAGGCAGTGAGCACCGAGGAGAGACCAAAGCAGAGACACCCATCGAACCACGGTACTGACCAGCAACAGGAGAACCATAGAGATGAAACTGCTGCCATGAGGTGGGAAGGCGAGCAGGCGGAAGCAACCAGGTTTCGGTGATAAAGACCAACGAGAACGACTGGCAGTGACGGAGGAGGTCATCGACTGTGGAAGCCTGGAGACCGTTGGCATTCCACAAGCCGATGGTGAGCGGAACGAGTGATGATGTATTATTTGAAGGAGTGGACGGACCATGGGAGCCATGAGAGCCATAAGAAACCAAAGGAGAGGAAGGAGTGAGCAAATCTGGGACCATACCAGAGGCAGAGACCGAGGACTCATTATAATGACAAGTATTACTACTCATCATTATAATGATCCAAAGCTGGAACGAGAGTCGGGACGGTCTTGATCATACTGATCCAGAATCATTTCGTCGTCGGGTTGATCACGGTGGCGAGGGAAGGCAGGGCGATCTTGTTTTGAAGCCAAAACTTCAGAGACAGCCTCGTCAGACACCATGGCATTAGCCAAGAAGAAGCGAGAGACAGCAACAGCAACGGGATAGCGCAAGCGCTCAAGGGTACGAAGACAACGCTCATTGGAGATGTGCGCCATCTTTTCTTGACGTACCTCAAGAGACGCAGAGGCAAAAGCAGGGTCAGCAAGGTGGTTGGGATCCAAGGGATCGAATTGATCCAGTACCTTGATCTTTGCTTTTTCAAGCAAGGCGACGAGAGCAGGCTTGTACTGAAGGTGTACAAGTAGCCCAACAACTGAGTGGGCGGGGAACGAAACGTCTAACACCCGCCAGGTGTCAACACCCAAACGACCAAGACGGCGACGAGCTTCGGTGTAAGACATCTTACGGGACCGAGGGATATACACATAGTCGAAACCTTGCTCACCTGTAACCGGTTGGAAGCCTCGAGCAGCAGCAGCACGACGACGGAGTTTACTTTTTGAACCACGTGAAGCAACAGTGGCCCAAGAGGAGGCAGCAGTACCCAAGGTGGGCGAAGAAACGGTCTCTTTAGCACCATTTGCGGCAGCAGGAGAAGCAGAAGAAGAAACGGCGGTACTTGAACTTGGGGTGCTTTTAGGGACCCCGGCGGTTTGTGCGGCCAGTTGGGCACGCAAGGAATCAATCTCATTGGCTTGAGATTGCGTAAGCTCCAAGAGACGAGCGTTTTCGAGCTGGAGCTGCTCTAAGGCACTCAAGCGGGCAGTCAGATCTTGGTAAGCAGCAGCCAAAGACTGAAGAGTGACGTCAGCATTTGAATTTGCTGAGTTTGTTGAGGCGGCGGCGTTGGGGATCCTTGACCCCAAGTTTTTTCGTAAAGGTCCCATCGTTTTTGATAAACTTGAAACTGAAAAAAAGTGATATAGACTTGGTGTATTCGAAAAATTAAAAAAACCAAAAGGTGTGTTTTTGAAAGATGAATCGAATGGTGTAAAAATTGGAGATGGATGGCTTGATTTGGTGGAGTTATCGGCTTTTTTCGAAAAATAAACGAGTTTACCTTTTTAACCAAAAGCGAAAGAAAAGTTGAGGGATTCGCCCGTTTAGCACAGTGGTAGTGCGTCAGTCTTGTAAACTGAAGGTCGGTTGTTCAATCCAGCCAACGGGCATGTGAAAGAAAAATGTGAGTGTACAATATTTGTGTACTCACATTTGTTTTCCTGATGTCCGGTATTTTGGGAAAAAAAAAAAAAAAAAAAAAAAAAAAAAAAATTCACATGTAAGGATGCAGATTATAAATTTT